CATACAAGTGAGTATTCGTTAACTTCTTAGAATTTTTTAAATTGTCTATTTGATTATATGAACCGTTTGTTATGCATTTGCTAGAATGACTTTAATATTGTTGTCTTTTTAATGGAAACTCTAATGTTCGGTAAGGGTTACTTGTACTGGGACCGATTCTACCTCATAATAGAAAAATGTTATGGCAAGGCCATGTAGCGCTCCAACTTCCATACATTATGCTACTGAATCATACTGAATACTGTCAAAATGTCATGTATTTGCTGTGCATTCGGGCGTTTTACGCATAAACTGCAAAGTCACTCATATGTTATGGAGCTGAGTCAGAAAGACCCTGTTATCTAAGATCGTTTTTGACATTTGTGCGGTTTCTAGGTTAGGTTTTCTATCTAACAACCTGAGAAATACGCCTGACTGCACACTAACCACATGACTTTTGTCAATATTTTGTACGGTAAGTTTTTCAATAAATGGCCTTGCCATAACATTTTTCTGTTATGCGCTGTAGAGTCGGTTCCTTAGAAATATATTGAAATATTATTCATTTTCAAGCAAAACCGTGTCACTACTGCTTGATATCATAGTGTCTGAAGCGGGCATCAAACCTGCAATCTCCTTGGTTAATTTAAAGTAATCTAAACACCAGTTAATAAAATAAGATCACCTGGGAATAAAACGATATGGTGTTACAATTGTAAAACTGCATTTTATTTTTATCATTAGAATGAAGATCCCATCACCTTTAAAAACATAAGTATTATCCTAATAAAATTAGTAAAATTTATAAAACAACTAAAATATTAAATTCTAATAAAGTCAAATTAAGTATACAATATCCGAACAGTGTATCTGTTCATTAAAAAATATTATTTGCTAAGCTCGTTCACATAAACCCTTAAAATATTTCAAATTCGATAAACATTGACATATTCCATTTGGAAAAATATAGTAATTAACATGATATTGCTTAATTCGTGCTAGATCTCAAAAGGGTAAAAGAAAATTATGTATACATATTATAATGAAAAATAATAAATGTGTATGTGAACTAGTATGAACATACCATTAACCAGCAAATGTAATTTTGACACAATCAGATATAAAAACCACTTGTAAAATATTTTACTATCGAGACTACTAAAATGAACGACAATTATCCGTAAGAAATGCGCCATTATTTATCACTTCACAGGCTCAACACAAACTAACATATTATAAGCATTCAATAACCATTCTAAACTAAAGACCTCGAAAAAATATTCATGTAAACAAATCGTATATTTAGTTATTTATTGTGCAGGTACTGGAGTTGCACCGTTGCTGAGTTAACTGACATATTGTTTTGAGGAAGTCCAGGGTTTGCAAATATTCTTACGTGGTATGATGTTTGTACAAAATCAGCTGAATATTTATTATCAGAGACTGCAATATGAGTTGCCATACTGTAATGTATTTATTTCAAGAACAAAAATATAAGACGCTCAAAATGTTCAAAAATCTAACTTCTACTTGAAGAGTCAAATCAACTGATGATGTACAAGCATATTAATGCGGCACTTGAATGCCATTTTCTACCTAACTTTATAGATGTCAATTTTTATAACTAAGTTATAAGATACAATATTTATCCATATTTTTCTGTGTATGTTATATGGATACTTGGCGTTGAAACCTCGCCATTTGAATGGATTTTTATATTCATGGAGGCTTTGAGTTTTAATGGAACGCCGCCCTGATGAACTCCCTAGACATTTCACAAGTCAGACTGGCCGGCCCTGTGAATAAAATAATCACATATTTACAATTTTAGTGAGAGTTTATATTAATGAACAATTAATAGGTTAAATTAATGAATATGTATCTATGTAACTATTAAACAAAAATGGTGTACTGTATGCATGTAAAGTTTTTGATAATGATTTGAGAAATGGAATTTGACTAATTAAACGAATATAATTGCTACAAAATCAGATTATTAATTTAACTATGATTCCAAATGTTTATGGTATTTCATAATTAGTTATTACACTAGCGATGTTATTATTCCTGTTAAAAACGTTACCACTAGCAAATTTCTCTAGTCAAGGATTCTGCACAAAAATTGGCCAGCGTGCCAAGACTAAATTCAAAAACGACGAATGCAAGCCGCATATCCAGTCTATATCACAATATTAATTCACATTTATTTTTACCTATTTAGATATAAAACTGACAAAGACAAATTTTGAAGAAATACTCGAGAAGACTATATTATTTGCAATTACTTGAGGATGTTAAGTATTACACACACACATTGATGCATGTTTAGGAAAATATACTTTATACAACTGATTTAAATTTTTATGTTCCCATTGTTTGTATTTTGATAAATATATTTCCAATTCAGCATCGATTAACACAAAGTGGACATTTAACTCAAAAATGTATTATACAAGATGCAGTGCATAAGCAAGCATTTGAAACAGCTGTCATGCTTAAAGTGAAAACAAAACGTGATGCATGATCGTGAATATGATTGTTGAATGAAAGTGACCAATGTGAGTCTTTTTTAAACTAATCTCTAGTCTGCAGCGTATTGTTAGTTGAAAATTGTAAATTTATATAACATAATCCAGTTGAAAACCTGGCGGTAAGGAAAAGGTCTAATAAGAACAGTTTGCGTCTGCGCTGATGTGTATAGTGTTGGCACACAACGCCAGTAGCGCTTGCATCACCTCTCGATTTGCCAAAAAGACTTCGAGACATGAAAGCATAACTCCAGTACTATTAATTAATTAAAAGCTCTATTATTTTTACACAAAACCAAAAATCAAAAATTACAACACGGTCAAACGATAGTCTGTTGTCGGTACCTTCTGGGTTTGACCCAGCGCGGCACTAAGCACATCGATAAGAAGAACTCTAAGCTTGCTTAAAACATTAGGTACATTGGGTCACGTGGTTCGGTCGCTGCTGTCGGGTCCGCAAACGACCTCTTCGTTCGCTTTAACAATGATTTTCTCTTGAGCGATGTTTTTGGCGCTTAGCACTCGCGGACACTTGGCCCACGTCCCGCCGATGTGGCCATTATTACTGATGCCCATCGCCCTTTCTTGCAATCCTTTAAATGCCTTCGAAGGTAATATGTCGTAATCGTCTATTGATGTGTCCAAGTTTACCATTCCCCACGTTTCGTAATATTTATTATAGTCATAATAGTAATTTCCATACATATCATGAGGTGTTCCGGATGGCGTTGAATCAGTTGTCGACGAACTCACTGTATCGTACTGATCCATATCTTCCTGCAAAATTCGCAAAGCTGCTGCGCGCAATTTTTCCATCGGCAACTTTCGAAGAGTTCGGCCTTTTTTACCGCGCAAAAGGCTCTGAATTAATTCGGTTAGTAACCGTTCATTGACGGTTGGCGATGCGGGCGATGCTAGACCGCTCGAAGATGATAAACTATCAGGATCACTACCTGAATATTGTGAAAGAAGTGGTAAAGACAATTGTTCGCGTTTGCCAAATACTGCTTCAGAATCCACAGATCGTGTCGAATCGCTACGTACTGAAAAATCACGTCGTAAACGAGGTGCAGATTCCAAAGATTTTTGTTCCTTCAGAGAATCATCTGGTTCTTCATCAGTCTGATCGCCGGTTTCACCCTGCAATAATTTGAATAATCGAGAATGTGTCGCTGCTCTTTGGTATTTATTCATTTTACGTAGTTCGGGGAATGAATCGTATTCTGTGTCTGTTTCTGAAATATGCCTACTTATATCTGATGTAACACCCGAATCCACTTCTTCCTCTGAGTCTTCTTGAGATTTTTTATTTAATGTAGATAATACTTTCTTGCTATGACTTTTCGAGAGTATGTGATTGCTGAAAGATTTTTCTAACATAGATGTTACGCTTTTCATTGACTTAAGACTGGATCTAGATGAATTTCTATTTAAACTTTCATTATTTATGCTGTCCTCAGATGTGTTATTTGTTTTCTTATTCTCTGCAACATTATTACTTTTCTGTTCATTTTTTCTAAATGCATTGTTATCTGTATCACTATCACTATCTTCACTTGAAGAACTACTACTGCTTGTTGAATCGTCAGAATCATCATCTGAATCCTGTGATGTGTTATCAACATGTGATTGTACATTATTTAATTTCGATGCTTCCTTTTCAAAAACTACATTACTAACTTTTCCGTTTGCATTTTCATTTTCGGATTCTGAATCTGATTCTGATGATGATTCACTAGTTTCATCACTATCGTCATCTGAAGAGTTTTCTTCGGTTGAAGTTATATTCCTAACATTGATGTCTCCACTTGAAATTTTTCTTGTAATCGTACATGCTACGTCAACTGTTTCTGAATTTGATTTTGATAAAGGACACTCTAAAGTAACTGATACATCGGGACTTTCACTTTCGAAACTCTCATGATTCATTTTACTTTTTCCAACTGTTATTGTTGTAACATCCTCATCATTTTCGGAGCGACTGAATTTTAATTTTAGCGGCAAGCATACAGTTACGGTTGATGAAGCAGTATCTGCTTCGTCATCATCATCATTTATATCAGTATCATCTAAAGCATTTACTATAGTCGTTGAGCAATCGCTTATAGTCGTGCAAGCGCTATCTGTACGTACCCTGTGTTGCTGAGAATCAAGATAATTAGATTCACTCTCTTCTAAAATCATGCTTAATTGATGAGGAACGATAAAAGGTTCTTCGCCCAAGGTACTTTCATCTGAAGATTCGCTATCTGTCGTTTCTGTAACTGATTGTTCCTCTTGTATGCTAATGTCTTCAGCTGTAGTTTGTTCATCTTCGTTATTAAGCAATTCATTTGTGGTTGTTTCTTCGCCATTCGAACTTACTTTATCATCACTTGCACTATTCTCTTCATTTTCTTCGTTAACGTTATCCTCATCGACTATTTCAATTTTATTTGAAATGCCTTTATCATTGGAATCCTCAGTTTCTTTATGTTCAGTTTCGGACTCATCTGAGGAACTTTCAGATTCCTTCTCGGTTGTATCTTCGTATTTTGTATTATTGTCAGATGCTTCTGATTGTTCGGATTGTACATAATAAGTTGTTTCGTCTTCGGTACAACTTTCCGGCTCTGTTTGGTAGTAATATGGCGGATACATTGGAGGATAACCGTAGTAACAATAGTAGCCGTAGGGATGCATCGGCCAGTACTGTGCTGTCGCATCGACATCAGATTCCTGATAGGAGCCGGTGTCATCGGACGTTGGCTGAGCATAGGATTCAGGGTTTGCATAGTAATAACCCCAATATGGATCTTGAGACCAACATGGATCATAATTTTCCCAGGGTTGGCCGCCGTACACAGACGGCTCGCAACCATCTGGAAGCGTGCCTTCGGCTATAACAGATCAAAACGACAACAATACCCTCTTAAAATGTTAGACAAATCAATTTTATACTGTTTTAATACTACAATATACATTTAATATATAGATATTTGTAGAGAAATTTGTATATAAAAATAAATTCATTATGTTAAGCGATAAAAAGAAACACAAAGCCAAGTCGGCGATCGCGATGAGAAACTTCGACTAATTGTAAGTAAAATCGCTGGAGTCGTGCGCGCGTCTATTGTTTTATTCTGAAGTTTAGCATCGCCTCGCATAGGATCACATGTAGTTAATCATAACGCACCATGGTTAATGATCGTTAACCGTTAAAAGCAATCCCCATAACCGTTTCAATATTGGTTGCATCAAATGGCCACACTGTGATCACAGTCAATCCGAGTGATTTCAAAATATGTCAAAGATGCAAGGGTCGATTTGCCAAATAGTGTATTTCACTTTAAACTATTTAAATTGTGTTGTGCAACTTTTCACTCATCCGTATCCATAACCATGTTAGCCACAGCTAGCTTAGAAAACAAACATGACAAAAAGTCACACAACATCCGCACAATCATATACAATATCATGAATCTGAATACGGATTTTAATAAAAATAATTATATTAGATAATAAATAATGTCGATTTTATACATGAATTAAACAAATTGACCCAATTGACTATGACATGACAATGAAACGAATATTAACACGTGAAAATTATTCAACTGAATAAACGTCTTAGCATTCAAATGCAGTATAAGGTAAACAATACAAATAATGAAAAACATTCTATATGATATTAACATTCAACAATGTTTATGATAAACTTGAGAAGATGAAAGATATCATATATAATAATAATTAAGAATCAATCTTTTATTATTTATGGCCAATCCGAAAGTAAGTCGAATCACATTGGCGATCGACAAATTGTTTTGTAAAATTTTGAGAAATATTATTCATTAAAATAATTTTGATACTTAATATGTAAAGATTATACCAACCGTAGTTTTCGGGCTCAGTAATGGCTTGCAAAATTTTAAATGAGCGTCCAGGTATGTTACATCCAGTATATTTTCTAGGTTCTAGTACCTTCTGTTCGCTCGGTGGTATGTAGGGCTTTGGCGAAGTCGGATCCACTAAAAAATTATGTCACTTAATAGAAATAAATTTTATAAGTTTATTTGATAAACTTAGATTTGATTTCCAACAAAATAAAAATAGCTGTTTATTATTCAAACTGTCAGTATACATACGCATAAGAAGTTTTAATTTATTAAACTAACCTCCTTGTGGTTTTGGTGGCTTAACAGGACGTGTCTGCCCTTTAGGTCCTGAAAAATGCAAAGCTATACAGTACGTGTAATAAGAATGATTATTAACATTTAATGCAAATCCTCCGTCATAAAAAAGGAGTCTCATTCCGAAACATATGTTCATAACAATCACATATTTAAATTTTCCAACTCCTTACACGGAGGGTGTGATGTGACAATCAATACGGAAACATGCTCTTATTGCCATTATCAAAAGAACATAAACAATATAAACTTCAATAACAGTTTGTAAACCTTCATCCTGACAAGCATCTGCTTGGGTGCCCGTCATGCACTGCAAAACTCTGAATGCTTTCGATGGAATAGCGGCGCCTCGAAATCTGGGCTCTTCTTCAGTATGCAAGTACTGTTCCTCATCGACTATGCAGTGGAAGATTTTATTTCAATAGATTATGTTATGATACCTACTATTGTTTTTAAATAATTTTTCACATTATTTCATAACGTGTACTTTATGATGTGAAACTCCTTAGAACAAGAAAAGAAAACAGAATTTTGAAAACTCATTGAGATAACATGAGAAAACATCAAGGTAGGCAATGCCGTTGGCAAATGTCAGAAATAGACATATTAAACAATAGTCAGGGTGTATAAGAAAACACTATATAAAGAGATGAACAATGTGCAGTATTCATTACTAAAACAACTTTTTCAATTGGCCATATCTGCCTTGCAGAATCTCAGACACCAGAATTTTTAAGAAGTTTCACCTATATCTCATTTTATTACATTTTTTTTAAATTAACAACTCATACTTCATTTACTCTATTCTGAAGCAGTAAATAAATTTTTTATAAGCCAATTAATTTTGATAAATTAATATGAAATAATATCTTTTATCTCACCATGCGCTTTAAATTGATCCATAAGCAGTTTGTCATCTTCTGCCAATTGTAATTTGCGCATTTGCTCAGATGGAGGCTGCTCATACTCGATTGGTACAACCACGGTTTTGGGTTTAATATCATCGTAACCTTCAGTAGTCTGTTGTAGAAATCTAAAAGCGCGAGATTGTGTAGGCGTACCCGAATTATTTTTTCCCCAACCAACTGGCGTCTGATTAGTCACTCTGTAATCAATAATATAATATCGCTTAGTATGCTCATATTATTTTTACAATATAGGAAACCTATTTATAAATATTCGTACTCAGGTGTTCTTTGTTTCGGTGGAGTATTTCTATCAGATCTTTCAATTTTAATTGGAACCACTCGAACTCCTGGTTTGTTAGCTCCAGGTGTTTGTGGAGTCGTCGGTTGTGAATTATCTCTTCCTTCAACCTTTTAACAATTATTTCATATAAGATAAAATATGAAATCAATATTATCTAGCTATTGAGGTATTAAATTAATTTAGTAAATGCAAAAACTTTATTTATAAAATAAATACCTGCATCGGTACAATATGCGTGGAGCTTGGCCGCACATTAGCATCGTCATTTTCCTCACGATTGACCCATGGAGGAGCAACATCTTGTTGCGCACTTCTTGATCCTTGATGCATCCACGGAATAGGAGGAGATTGTAATTTGGGCATTTGCTGCACGGCTGGTATTACCAGAGAACCCACATTCTGATCAATTGGAGGACTCCAACGCGGAGTCTGTTCTGAAGTCCGCTGAGCACTACGAGCCGGCGGAAGTATAGGTGGAGGTCTAACCACCATTGCAGGTTTAGAAGCAACTTGAGGTTTCGGTGTAAGCTGCGTTGGAGTAGTTCCTGGACTGTTAGAAGTTTGTGGTGTAACAGGACCTGATTGCGGGCTATAAACCGGTGATTGCGAAGTACTTATCGCTGGATTTTCAGACGAATCTTGCGGTCCTGGTGACTGCTGTTTTTGAAGACGTGACGGTCTCATCAAAATTGGTGGAGGTGGTGGAGCTCTTGATGGAGCTTTTGGTCTTGGTGCAGGAGGATTGGATGGAAAAACTTGAATTGGCATTTGAGGCTGCATTGCGGCCAGTGCCGATGGCGGCAAAGGCTCGCTGCTATGGGCGGCCAAAGGCGACGGTTTTGGAGTTTCGGTCACTCCTTCGCTTTGAGCGTTTCGCACTATCCGTCGTGCCATTCGAGGAGATCGAATTTGCGACAAATCGATACCACCCGGAGTGTAGGTGAAAGGCTTCTTGTCTTTTGTCAGCATTGCATTTTGTACACATAGAGGCGGTTCATTAGATCTTTCTGGAATCTGAATTGAGCATTAAAGTAATTCGTTAAGGATAAAAAGTATGGTTCTTCCAAAAATTAAGAAATCTATGTAAAGGGAGTAAAGACATTCCGATAAACAATAATGCGTTTGATGCCATGATTATCATAAGAGAATCCAAAACAATTCGTCGAAAGTACGGATTGTTGATGATTCATAATTGCGCGATTGCTCTGTTTACAAGTAGTCGGCGAGTGGTGATCGCGTTGCGTTACGATGACGTTTGGATGCATTCACAGATTCTATTATTAAAAAGAATTCACTTAACACGTCGCAACGGAGCAAAATTTAGATGTTGCAATACGCGACACGGAACTAAAATAGACGTATGAAAATATTCTTCGAAAATAAAATTATTTTCTCCAAGCCTATTTATTTTTATTTTTATTAAAGGCATCCAAATCGTGACTATAATGAAACCCGAAACTAATATACTATAGTCGTAGAAAAAATCATAATGATTTTATTAAAATAGTTATTTTATTTATTATTAAAATGAACATTTTTATTTGAATAATATTGGCAAATATGTAATAAAATTTAATGCTAGATGTGAGGGCGCTTTTACCAATATTAATGTAGTTTCAATTTTGTAATATTCTAACGATATCATATAGGGTTGTCAAATATCTCCCTTCCGCTTTTTTGCTCTTGGTTTATAATACAAAAAGGCGGAAGGGAGATATTTGACAACCTTATATGAATAAATAAATATAATTGAAGTAATTTCTTACCTCTGAAGGTAGTCTCTTTGCAGGTACACTTGTAACCATTGGTGGCGGAGGCGGCGGCCCTGCAGCACCATTACTTCCAGTTTCATTGCTAGAATAGTAATAAACAAATTAGAATAATTTAATTTTTGAATATTAATATTAAAAAATTATCAAATTAAAAATAATTTATTGTTGCGATTGAAATACACATGTTTATCACTATTAATTTACAGTATACTAGAATGCTGGGGGGGGGGGCTGCTTATAGATGCATATATAGTCAGAGTCGTTGACTAAAGTATATATTTTTTATTATTTACTATCGTTTACAAATTAGAAGAAATAAAACTACAAACTACATACAGATAACTTCTGATGAAAACTAAAGTGCACATAAAGTTAAAATTAATAAGAATATAATAATAACACATTCATCTTGGTTTTTCGAGAAAATATAAATATATATGTTTATCTACACTAATATACACATAAAGGTGTCGAAAGGCTTAATACGTTTACATAAATATTTATGGATTTTTATTTCACTTCTGTGATCTATAATATAGATCGTAAAAATCCCAGCTACTTCATATTTGTAGAAATGTGATATTTTGCTGTTTTTCAAAAATTATATATATATATATATATATATATATATATAAAACCTGGCTCTTTTTACACAACAAGCGGTGTAACTTGGGGCGGACAGGGAGCAGACAGGTGCAATGCAATTTTAATTTTGAAGTGATTTTACAAATTAATAGCTACATTATTCAAACAATGCAAAATATAAATTCGAGGGTGCATTTTTCAAAGAGATAACACTATAAATAACCTTAATCTGGTATTTCGTCAGAAATATTCATCAGCAGTTGGAAAAACTATTTATTTAATTTATCTCATGTAATTTTTTTTAATTAACTTAATTTATTTTTTTGTTTGCTATTTTTTATTTTTTAAACCTATGTCTCGGTAAAGGTTCAGTTGGTCCTTTTTACCTCACCAAGATGTGAGCTTTCATAGAGGTTATATAAAATAAGCTGTTGAATCTAACTTAAAATTAACAATATATCTTATAAAACAATTAAATAACGTATACTTAAAAATTATATTAGGGTTTCGTAAACTAAACAACAGTGCTCACAACCGAAAAAACTAACAACGGATGAAAATACTTTTGTTATGGATTTTCAAATATTGCCGTTTATCTTCCGATAGCGTGAACTTAAGAATCAGGGTTATGGCTGGTTATACATCTTTTACCCTCTACTTGCTGTTTACTTTTACCCCTCGACAAATATTGCTGTTAAAAAATGCCCAACTTTTCTTATTTTTAAGATATTGATGGTGCACCTTTTTAACCGCAGACCTTAAAACTCTGTTCATGCTCTGTATTGTATAATTGTGTTGTGCTTAGAATAAAGAATCCAAAACAGCAAGAAAAAAATCAAAATTCTGAGACTATGTACTATTTATCTTCTGGGCAACTCTCAAGAACATGATCTTGGTTAAAAAATAAAGAAACAAAATTTATATTATAATAATATTTTTGAAAAAATAATTTTTTTGCTTTTTTGGTATTTTGAATCCTTTTTTGAAGGGATTACAAAGTGTAACCTCTGCACAGAGAAATGTTTTCTATTTCCAGACTATAACCTGCCTAAAAAGGTACAGGGTAATTTTTGTGGCCAGCGTGAGGTTTTAGCGTGAGATTTTCAAATACTACCCAGCAGTAACCATTTGAAATTAAAAACATAGAAAAATATAAAAAAAATAATCAAAATCGATTATTATAATTTTTGGGAAAGTTTTCCGCAAGAGCGGTGGCCGATGACCCATCGTTTGGCCATGGGGGAGCGCACAGCGCGCGCTGCCAATTTCTTGAAATAAACGAGCACACGATTTAGAAACAGAACAAATTCTACTAGACAACCGACGCTTTTGTTCCAATATGTCAATCTTACATTGATTATTACTGTATTAGTGTAATTTTTTATTATTTTTCACGGTCATTATGTTATTTTTCTCTTTTTTCCTTCAGCGCGTGTTGAAAATGATCAATCATTGATTGAAAATATATAAACTTATAATGTGACGTTGGTGTAAACTTGATATATCGTTGTTTGAAAACATCTTAGGATTAGAATGCTTTTTTTTACAAATTATTATCCAAATATAAAAATAAATACCATATGTAAGACACCTGTGAGTATCTTACCATCAGTAATGCGGAACATCTAGGGCGTGAGTTGACTTCATGTCTGTCGTTTTCTTTTTTAATTGATACACTTATGACCAATATTATGGCGAGGCCATGTTACCCTCCAACTTTCATATATTATGCTATTGAATCATACTGAATACTGTCAAAATGTCATGTATTTGTTTTACATATAACTTCATAACGTCACTTGTATGTTATGAAGCTGGGTCAGAAAGACCCTGTTATCTAAAATAGTTTTTGACATTTGTGCGATTTCTAGGTTGAGTTTTCTCTCTGACAACCTGAGAAAAATGCCTGACTACACGGCAACCACATGGTTTTTGTCAATATTTAGTATGGAGAGTTCTTTATAACATAGCCTTGTCATAACATTGGTCTGTTCTGTGGCAGAATCGGTCCATTAATATTGTGTTTATATAGTATTACAACAATTTATGTATACACATATGTATATGTATATATGTATATGTATATATATACTTGTTTATAAATATACTAAAATACCAAGTTTATTTTTAGACATTACCATGTAGTATACTATATGCTATTTTATACCCAAGTAATGAGGCTAGTATTCTTTTACTTGAACCTCGTAGAATTTGATCTTATAAAGACTTTTTTATAAATATTCGATTATTTTGGATTGTATTTATAATTACCAAAAATGCAATAACAGAGCACCCCAACCCAGTTTCTAAGGTTTATTTATAAAATTTCGTACGTTTTTCAAACGAGTTGTTATTTATTTATTGATATATTTATTCTCAAAGTTTTATTATTAAAATGAAGATTTTTTCAAAATTGCAACAATGCTGATTGAAATGCGAAAAGTCATCCACAAAAATTTTATCATATATTCAAACTTAGGCAAATAATTAATACATTTTGAAAATTGATATGTTTTTTTTATTAAAAAGTAGAATTCGTACTTGCTGTACTTTTAATTGGTCCCCTCAAATATCTTATTCTAGTAAATAATTATTTAAATATATCATCACTTTTAGTAAAATTGTCATGAAAAATATATCAAACAGACATTCTAAGTATTACCAAAAATTTGCTGATGTTTTATAATGGAATAGAACCAGATATTTAGGAAAAAAATAAGCAAAAAATGGTTGCATTCTAAAAAAGCCCTAGGTAAAAAGTATCATAAGAATAGCTCATATATCTCTAAAGTACTGATTGCTTGGTTCAACAACAAACAAAAAAATACTAATGTAAACTATTCAATACTTTTGAGTACACCAGTGCTAAAACTTGACACAACTTCTAGAAAACCAGTTTTAAGGTCATAGTATAAATTTTTCAAATTCTATGTATTTTGGCTAACAAGAGACTTTCCAAAACACGCCTTTTGGTGGTGGAGATTGCGATAAATATGCCCATGAATGAAAAAAATTTTGTCTACATTTTTAACTGCAAAAAAAATTTAATCAGTCGAAATTTATTATTTGTACAACCCATCTAGTCGTTTCTATTCTATGTGAACTGATTCTTACAATTTTTGAATACTGGCAAGTTTATTGATGCAGCATTACAGATGAGGGCTATTTTCTCTTGGAAACATATTGCAATCTATTTCCAAGCAACAACCGATGTCACTACTACTTTACATCAGGCTGTCCGAGTCGGCTATCTAACCGGGACTTCTTATTGAAATCACAAAACTCTACCCACTAATATACTGAAGATTACTGAAGAGAAAATAATTTTGGAATTTGAAGTATCTCTATAAATATTTACTAATTGATAATCCTCTCAATCTTCCTCAGTGGTCTTCGCGTTGTCCTAGTTAACAAGCACCATCAATTACCCAAAGTGACTCTAATCGTAAAGCCATCAGCGACAGCCCGATATTTTGTTAAAACAAAACATCAGGAACAGTTTTACGAGATCAGTTCGTATTCAATGTATGGTATATTTTTTTGTCGATTGGCATTGAGCCAAACGATCATCGCGGCATTATTATTAGACTCGGTAGTAGGTCAGATACTAAATTCGTTATACTGCTTCTAATATGTTTTGTCAAATGATATCTAGAGTATTAGTTATTCAGGTGCATCTATAAATTACATATTGTAATTAATGATTATTTCATGAAATCGTAGCAAAACCATGAGGTAAGAGAAAAACGGGCAAATTGAAGGCTTAAAATAAGAACTCGGTTGTTGACCCATTCAGGAAATAACGAATTTTACGATGACTTGGTGCACTCGTAATGATGTTGGAGGATAATCTTATGAAGTTTGTGTAAATACGTAAATTTCAATACAAATGCAAATATTTATTTGGTAACTGAGAAAGTAGATAAATGGTTTTTATAGGTTTGAACAGAGTATCAGAAAGAATTTATTCAGGCAAATTACTAAAAAACTAGGGCTTTCTCGTAGATTAGTGGTTAGAAGTTTGGCTTTCCAACCAGAAGTTTCAGATTAATACCCATCACATACCTGATATCAAGCAGTATGACATCGGTTTTTACTTGAAAATATAGAGATCACAATATTTTCAAGTAAAAGTGAAAATAGCCCTTACCCCTCATTCAATAAAAAGCCGCTAATACACTTATTTTAGAATAAATTCAACAAAAAGAGATTGGCCAACTGTTGAATTACCATCTATAAAACCACGTCATTAAGGTGCGATCACAACAAGCTTATAGGACTATTATTTTCTGATTGCTGTTAATAATATAAAAAAGTAAATTACTAATGCAAAAAATTTAAAAGGAAAATTTTAGACTTCAAAAATCATACTTTTTAAAGGACTAATTTAAATGCATCAAAACATAGACCTTATATTATATGGAGCAAAATAAGTGCTCAAACATAGAAGGATATGTGACGTCACATGCCTGAGCAAACATTGCCG